CCCCTCCTCCTCTCCATCCCCCCTCCTGGCTGACAGTGCACATCTGTCACCTAGGGCCCTCCCAGAAGATTGGGTGGCCTCTCCAGCCTTCGCATACTCTATAGAGTCTCTCAAATTCCCCAGCTCCTGTTCCTTCTGCCTTGACTTGCTTCCTCACAATTTAACCTGAGGGCTTGGTCTTCTGGCACCACACCCCCTACACCGCAGGTGAGCCTGTCAGCACCTCTTCATGTGGCGTTTTCAGCCTTCTCCCTCTCAAACTCGAAGCTGGTTTCTCTGAGAGATAGATTGGTAGGTAGGTAAGTAGGTGGTAGATAGATGATAGAATATGAATGAGAATGTGTGCCTCACAAGTTCCTCTTGGACAATCCTGGGCAGACTTAAAGAATGTTAAAAGCCATTGATCTGCAGCATGCAATGTCTAAACTTGTCATTCTTAAAATCCTTCCCAGTCTGTCACTGCCCTTCCAGTCACATCTCAACTATTCTCCAACATACCATGTTCTCAGTGCATCTGCTTTTCTGTAGAATGCCCTTTTCCTCTTCGTCAGCTTGGCACCTCCCCATTCTGTCGTTTAGAGCAAGTGTCCCCTTATCTATGAAACTCTACTTTTATTGGCAGAAATAATACTCCAGTGGTCCCCGGTGCACAGGCTTCTGCCAGAACATAGGATGTCTCTTGGCCTTCCTGTTTCCCACTGTTTTTTTCTTCTTTTTTGGTGGTACTGGGGATTGAACCTAGAGCCTCCACATGCTAAGTAAGCACTCTACCACTGAATTATATCCCCAGTTCCACTGACTTGTCGAGGCCAGGATAGTACCTGACTTATGTCTTGGGGGGCCCAGTGTATGTGGTAGTTGGCCCCTAAGTGTTTATCAAATGATCACGTTGAAACTACTGTTACAGGTGACTTCTGTGACTCCAGCCTGTGCCTGAATGGTGGGACCTGCCTGATGGGTCAGGACAGCGACTCCTACTGCCTCTGTCCTGAGGGCTTTACTGGCCTTGTGTGCAACGAGACTGAGAGAGGTACCTACTCCCTCCAGCCTGCTGCCATCTAGCTCTTCCACAGTGGGTAGCCCTCATTCCTCTGGAAACCACTTGGAAAGTGGCACTTCTGGTATTTGGGCTAATTAATCTCTCCAGGGCTCTCTTAGGTCCAGGAAGAATAGGGTAGGAAAAAGGGGCTGATTTGGGTGAATCCTTTGGGACTGTATCATCGGCTGCTTCCTGGCCTGTCTCTAGCTCCTTCCTGACCGCCTCCCCGTCTGACTTACCTTCAGGTCCCTGTTTCCCAAACCCTTGCCACCACAATGCCGAATGCCAGGTGATTGAGGACATACACCGAGGGGATGTTTTCACCCAGTACATCTGCCAATGCCCTCTGGGCTACTCAGGCATCCACTGTGAGACTGGTAAGTACCAGGACCTGTTGCTGGGCACAGACACTTGCTGGCCTTGTTCACAGTGATAACACTGGCTCTTGAGGGGAGACTGAGGAAGGAGCAGAACTTCAGTGAGAGTCCTGTTGTTCCTCCCAAGGCTTCTGGCTTGGTTTTCTCTCTTGGGACTGCAGGCCAGGCCTGATGTCACTGAAGGGAGTGAGGGGGTATGATGTCTCTGGAGGTAGAGAGAATACCATTTCCCAAGTCACATGGAGCCAGACACGTGGTGTTAGGGTTAAGACCTGGAATTTTTCTACCAGTAAGGATAAGCAGGCATGCTCTTAATTGTGGAGCCCAGGAGTTCAGTAAATCATGCTTTGGCTGTGGTTGAACTGTGGTCCCTTCACAGATCGAGAAGGAGGGCTCAACTGCCCTATGTAGTCAAAAGACCAGTGGCTCAGTGAATGGGGAGGAGCTGACCTTGTCTGACCTGCTGGTTATCCCCTGGGCCCCAGAGTGGCCTGTGTGGGTGCTAGCCAACATTGCTGACAGCAGTTGGTTATGCTGCCCCTTTTTCTGCCCCAAGCACAACTGAGTCATTTTAACCCTCTGTGGGTCACATGGGAGGGAGGGGCTGTGTTCAGGTGGGTGGAGGGGAAAAGGGTGGAGTAAGGGTCTCCAGCTTCCTGCTATCCACAGGTCAGGCACTGAGCACCCTGGATGGGAGGGAGGAGGCATCTTGCCTTCTTTCAGCAGGTATGGGCTGGACTCTGGTATTTGCTGACCTATAGAAGAAGGAAACAGTGGGAGCTGGGGCTCAGAATGGGGGGTGGGGAGGCAGAGTGGGTAGAGTGCCCAGGATACCCTCGACTTCAGAGGAGGCAGAGCAAGGACTTGTGCTTGCAGCCTAGACTAAAGCCAGATGAGAACCTGGATAAAGGATGGGGGAGCTCGGGGATTGTTAAGGCAGACTGAGGCTTGGGTGGAGCCAGGTAAGCCTGCTAATTACTGAGTGGGAGCCTAGCTAACCATGGTGTGCCTGTGTAGGAATTAGCCATGCAGTCTTCTGAGCCGCCAGATCTGGGGTTGGTCCCCAATGGGATGGCAGCACCTGGGGCAGAAGATATGTGATGCCCACACTGGCAGGGGAGCTCCCAGAGGGACCTCATACCCCTCCTTGTTTGCTATATCATTTGTTTCCTTGGTGCTAGTGCCAAGGCTGCACATTTGGGTCTCTTGGGGAGTGGGTGCGATAGGTGTGAAGGCTGTCTTCAGGCAGACCTGGCCCAGATCTGAGGTACCTGACCCTGCTTCGCATCTTACCCTCTCTGTGAGATTGATAAGTACCTATTCAGCATGAACCTCTGCTGCTGGAGTTTTGTAAGTTTGTCCCTGGGTTCCCTTGGCAGCAGAAACTTGGGTATCTACTGTGGGTGTTGGGTGGATGGGAAGGTAGGTCCTCTTGCCAGCAGGCTTGATTACTATTCCGAATTCTCAGTGCTGTGTTGCTGGGGTCACAAAGATGATGGGGCTGTGTCTGGGGACATGTTCACAGATGACTGGGTGGGTGAGAACTTCCTGGTGGAAGGTGCAGAAGGATACAGGTGACAGCAGAATGGTGTTTATACTGTACTCAAAAAACTTCTGCAGGTGGGATTCCATGTAGAACCAGGTGTGGTGGCACAAGCCTGTAATCAGAGCTACTCAGGAAGCTGAGGCAGGAGAATCACAAGCTCAAGTCTAGCCTGGGTGAGGCAAGTGTGACTGTCTCAAAATTAAAATAAGGGGCTGAGGATATAGCTCAGTGGTAGAGCCCTTGCCTATCATGCTCAAGTTTAATCCCTAGTAGCACCATGCACGCACGCACACACGCACGCACGCATGCACACACACGCAGACTTTGTGTTGGAGTACTTATGTGGTTAATTACTATCCAAGGCTCATTCTCTCCCAAAGCCACCCCCCTGGGTAAGCCAGGGCTGGGGATGCCGAGGAAGAGGTCACCCTGGTCTTCTCTCCCACCAGTGAATGAGACCACCTACCACAGCCTTGAGGGAGACTACCTGCCCATCACAGCTGTCCCCACCCTGGCCCCTCACCCTGGTCTTTCCAACAACTGGGTCCTAGTCTCCCGTGAGTGGCTCTGCGGGTACCCCTCCCTCCTTCACCTCCCATGAATCTTCTTTCGGTGTGGTGCCCCTCTGAGGTCTCCAGTGAATCTGAGGTTCTCTGGGTCCTCACCAGAGGCCACACTGTTTCCTTCTCTTGTCCTATGATTTTTGCTGGTTCTGGAACTGTGGAGTGGCTGCCCTGACTACCTTTGTCCCCCTACAGGCTGTTCCACAAAGCTGGGCATGGAAGGGGGTGCGATTGCTGACTCACAGATCTCCGCCTCATCTGTGTATATGGGCTTCATGGGTATTCAGCGCTGGGGCCCAGAGCTGGCCCGCCTGTACCTCACAGGCATTGTTAATGCATGGACTGCCAGTAACTATGACAGCAAGCCCTGGATCCAGGTAAGGAGAAGATACATCCCTGGGACAGGGTGACAGGGAAGATAGGTGAATGTTGCTCAGTTGGGGTCTCAAAATTCAGTCCATGTAGCAAGGTGAAAGGTGACCAGGACTAAATTGTCTGTAAGTGGAGGCAGCCTTAGATCTGGAGAAGGTAGGTGGGGTATGAGGACAGAAGGCTTCCTTTTGTGGAGGGCCTTTATGTATCCATAGGCCTCTGGGGACCTTGGCTCTCAATGGGCTTCCTGGCGCCCTTACTTAAGAGCCCCAGAGGAGAAAGCCAGGTTCTTAGAGGAGGAATGCATGGAACTAGTCAGCTGGATTTGGGTGGAAAGAACTAGAAGATGAGTGTAGCACCTTCCTCACCTGGCATCTAGGTGAACCTCCTGCGGAAGATGCGGGTGTCAGGTGTGATGACACAGGGTGCCAGCCGTGCAGGGAGGGCGGAGTACGTGAGGACCTTCAAGGTGGCCTACAGCCTCGATGGACGCAGGTTCCAGTTTATCCAGGATGAAAATGGATCTGGAGACAAGGTGGGCATAGGACCTAAAGAAGGCCTGTGAAGTCCCCCTAAGGGTCTAGCCTTGACTGAGAGGCACCCTGGGTGATTGGCATGAGGTGGGTCTTCTGATGCATCTCTGTTTCTAGAAATGGATAGACCCAGATTGTGTTCATGCTCTGTGGTTACAAGAAACAGCTGCACCTGATAGATGAGAGTGGAGACTCAAAGTGGTGCCATGACCTGGCAGGGGCAGTCATCATGATGGAGCTGGGTTTCAGTCTGAACATTTCAGTGAAATGCACAATTGTGCGGATTCTTAACACTGCTCAAAGGTGTTACTACTAAGTGGGCACCATTTATAGTACAGATACTGTACAGGTCTGTTCCTATCTTTTAGAAGTATTGAGAATGGAGTCCCTTTTCCTAATGTGCTCAGAGGCACTCTAGGTTATAGAAAGCCCTATGAAAGATGGGGGTTTATGCCTGGGTCCCATGATGGCCAAGGGAGATGGGAGAAGACTTTGTCCTGAAGGCAGTGGAATGGCCGAGGAAGGGCTGCAGGCTGTCCCTCTGGGCTCTGTGCAGTCTTTACTCTCAGCCTCTCAGGCCTGAAGAGGAAGAGGTCCAGGAGGGGGTGCTGCCAAACCCACCCTTCCTCCAGTCTTGCCCCTTCCCTCCTAGGAGTTTGTGGGTAACCTGGACAACAACGGCCTGAAGGTCAACATGTTCAGCCCCCCTCTGGAGACACAGTATGTGAGACTGTACCCTGTTTTGTGCCACCGTGGCTGTACCCTCCGCTTTGAGCTCGTTGGCTGTGAATTGAATGGTGAGTGCTGAGATGTGGCCTTCCCTACCCCCACTTTGTAAACTGGCAAGGGGCCACCGTGGGGAGTGGCTTACACAGTGATGACACCCGGCCAGGTGTCCCAGTTGCTTTCTGTTTACCAGTCTCGCTATGGGCATTTTGGCGGGTCATTTCACTTTTCAGAGTATTTGTACTTACTCTGGTTCCTAGAGCTTCTAGAACAGGTAACACTGGTTCCATTTTGCAAATATAAGTTCCCATGAATGCAGGGAATTGTCTGTTTTCCTTCTTGCTGTGTTTCCAGGGTCTCAAACACATGGGTGCTTGGTAAATCTTTGATGAGGGATGGATGAATGAATGAGAGAAGAGAGTCAAATGCATTATTCATCCACAGTACCCAGCTGGGAGGTATGAGCCATTGTGGTGATCACAGGCTCTGACCCTTCCATCCAGCGCTTTCCTCTTAAGCTTTCTGCTGTCTGCATTCAACAGTCACAGGGGTGCTTCTAGGATCCTAGAGCATGAAGCTTGGTGCTTCCAGCCGTCCTTCTAGAGAACCCCTGATGGAAGAGCCAGGGGGACCAGAAAGGAAGAACAGCTTACCTCTGAACTAGAGAAATTGCCCTTTGGAGAGGTCCTAGCACTTGCCTCTAGAGATTTGAGGTGCTTTTCTTTGCAGTCACAATGCCACCTGCTGGCCACCAGGGGGAACTGTAGGTTTCACGGCAGGGTTGCAGAGCTCAGCATTGGATTTCTTGACTTTTTTTTGCCCTCCTTTGCCTCCCTTTCCCTCAGTGGCGCCTCTTCCTGTTACTTCATTTCAGATACAACTAGAACTACTCAGAGCTCTGTATCTCACTAGGTTTTTTCTTTTCTTCTTTTTTTCAGTGCTGGGACCGGAACACAGGGCTTTGGGAATGCCAGGCAAAAACACTACCACTGAGCCACAACCCCAGCCCTGGTCTTTTTAATTTTTTCTATTTATTTATTAAAATATTTATTATTTTATGTGTATGAGTATATTGCCTGCATGTAAGTGAACCTATGTCGTGCAGTGCCCACAGAGGTCAGAAGAGGGCATCAGATTCCCCCAGAACTGGAGTTAGGGACTGTTGTATGCTGCCATGTGGGTGCTGGGAACTGAACCCGGGCTTCTGCAAGAGCAGCCAGTGCTCTTAACCGCTGAGCCATCTCTCCAGCCCCTGGTCTTTTTTTTTTTGTTGTTGTTTTTTGGTCTTTTTGAGACAGAGTCTCCCTGTAGTCCCAGCTGGCCTGGAACTCGCTATGTAGACCAGGCTGGCCTCGAACTCACAGAAATCCACCTGCCTCTGCCTCCCAAGTGCTGGGATTAAAGGTGTGCACCACCACACTTGGTGCTCCCTGGTCTTTTTAAAGTATGAACTTAAGCTAGTATGTTGCTATTACCAAACTTGGGGTCATAGTCTATACCTTAAGAAATCAAGTTTGGCCACCTGGCCTTAAGAAGCCAATTAAAACAGACAAATCAATATTTTTTTTAAAAAGCAGAAAAAGATTTATTCAGTATGGCCACATAGGGAAGTGGGACAGAGAGCCAGTAACTCCCTCAAGTCCATTTCCTGGTGTTGAAGGGAAATTGAAATTTATTAAATAGAGGGCCAAAGATATACACATCCAAGCAGTTCTGGGCAAGGTGTCATTCCATACACCATTGGCCCATCTTTCTGGGCTTCATCCTTAATCCTGTAAGGTGCTGTGGTTAGTTGTTAGAATCGTGTGAAATCTTTTTCTGGGAGACAAGTTCCTCTGGCGGCTGCCTTTTTCTTCTCCCAGTATCAGATTCCAGGGAAATTTCAATTTCTTGGTGCCCCTTGTTGCAATAGTTTGATAGTGAGATTGAGAGATAAAAGTGCCTCTTTAGAATATCTTTATTTCTGCCAAACCTGTTAAATTTTCTCTTCCAGGGCTGTTGTCTTTTGTACTACTGTGACTTAAGTGGGGAATAAGAGACTTTGCCTTCTGCTAAAAAGAAATAGGTAACTCGGACAGAGCCAAGTTAGGCTGCAGCTCCCTGGGTCCCTTAGTCTTCACTGTCTCAGCCTGAGGTCTTTGGTTCTCAAAGTTGCCAGAGTGGAGATGCTATATGCTGTTTAAGGCCCAGAGAAGGTGAGCATCATAGGAGCTGGCAGAGCTGTGCCATCTGACACCCTCCAGGCCTGGCCTGCCTTTCTCTGTAAGCTGGCCAGTCAGCTGGAGAGTGATGGTATATATGGGCAGTGTGCATATGCACATGTGACCTGGGTGAGTCCAGGTGTGCTAGGAATCCACAAGTGGACTGATGCCCCACACCAGGATTGCTTTTTCTATCAGATACAGTGTCCTTGATGACTTACTGTTTAACTTAGACATTTACTAAGTTTCTCCTGAAACCTAGATCCAGTGAGACCTTTGCATTCTTTCGAGGGAGGCAGAGGTGAGATGAACAAATAAAAGAAAGGTCAGGAGGTGAGAGAGATGGCTCAGCGGTTAAGAGCACTTGCTGCTGCTCTTCCAGAGGACCTGGGTTCAGTTCACAGTACCCACATAGAGCCTAACAATGACCTGTAACTCCAGTTCCAGGGGACCTGATGCTCTCTTCTAGCCTCCACATCACTTCAGGCACCTGATGTACACATATACACTGAAATACATATAAAAATAAATAACTAGATAAATACATCTTAAAGAGAAAGGTCAGATACCAGCAAGAACTCTGAAGGAAAGGGTAGGGTACTGGCATTGTGAGGATTCTTCAGCTGGACGGCCAGTCCCAGAAAGGTCTTGGAAAGTGTATTCCAAATGAGGAATTCCAAGGACAGAGGCCTCAGGCTTGCTGGCATAGGAGGAAGCCACTAGAGCTGGAGCCTAGAGTGTGTGGGACGGCTTGATGTGCGATGAGCTCTGTGGGTCAACAGTATCAGTAGTATCTTCTATCTCTAACCTAAACTTTCGGGAACAGAATTTTAATTTAATTTAATTTTGCAGTACAGGGCTTCTTACATGTTGAGCTATATCCCCAGATCTTTTTTGTTGTTTTCTGAGACAGGGTCTTGCTATATAGCCCAGGTTAGTTTGGATCTTGGAATTCTTCTGCCTCAGTCTCCTAAATGCTGGGATTATAGAAATGCTCACTACACCTGGCCAGATTGTTTATCTTTACAAGGTATTCTGTGATATCTTTGAGGAGAGCTACTGAGAGCCTCATTTTATAGAGGAGGAAAAGGCTGAGGCCTAGAGAGTGGAGGACACTCCTACCTGCTCCCCACCCTCAACTTTCCCTTAGCCATCACCTGCTGTTTGCCTCCCTGGGAGGCCCAAGGGCAGGTGTGGTTGTACAGTGTCCACTTCAAGCAGATGATGGGAATGGGTGTTACCTGAGAAGCTACCCTGAGCAGTGGCCTGCCTCAGGACACCCATGTCCTGGACCCAAGACATGACCCAGTTCCCAGCCCAGAAACCTCTGTGGAAGCAGGATGGTGGCTGCCTGACTCAGCATGCTTGGGAGGTGCGTGGCAGGCAGGCATTTGGGGATGGTGAGGGAGCACACTTTGCAGATGGAAGTATGGCTCTTTAGCCTCCTGCCCCACTCACCTCTCCAGGTGACACACAGTTGTAGGGTGGGGGTGCTGCCAGGTATGAGAGACATCCTCCGGAGAGTTTTACCTCCTGCCCAGCCCCAGCTGTTTGGCCCAGCAAAGCTGCAGTGTTAGTAGAGCAATCCCAAGGGGGTGAGGGTCAGGGGAGGGGAAGAGTGAAGCAGTAAAGGCAACCTGCTTCAGGCCAGCCCTCCAGGCATGTGCACGCACGCATCAGCATCCCAGAAACATTTGGTGTACCAATGCCTGCCATTAGATCTCAAGTGCTGTCAGCAGTACCCCTGAACCCCAGGATTTCCTGGGCTCCTCTAACCTGTTGCTGCTGGAGGGCAGGAGTACCCTCCACTCTTTGCTGGCCAGCCCCATATAGGGCTCCACAGGTCCTCGAATGAGGATGATGTCATAGTTGGTGCGATGGTCAGGATCATGTGAGATGTGGTCACAATGTGTAATTCCTTTCAAGCTCAGTCTGTAGAATGAGGTTGTGAATATCTATTTGTTCAGTGTCTTCTGTGGCGGAAGTCCATGATGGCAGAAAGCACCTAGTATGTGATATGCCTCATTTAAGGTTCTCAACTGTGCTGAGGATGGAGAAAGAGGGGAGGGAGAGCTGTGAGTCTGGCCAGAGAGGTAGTCAGGAGGTTCTGGGTGATCTCTAGGGGCAAGATGGGGAGGGGGTGGAAGTTGAGGCCAGCTGATGGGTGAAAAGACAGTGGGCGGGCATGAGAAGACTGAGGAATTGGCCTTGGAAGGCAGATAGGGCTTCTGTCCAAGAAATTCTGTCCAAGAGAATGCTAAGCCAGCCTTGGTGGCCTAGTCCTAGCAGATGGAGAAGCTAAGGTATAGGATCTCTTGAGGCCAGGAGTTTAAAGGCCATAAACTGGGTATAATGGTATATGCCTGTAATTTCAGCAGTCAGGTGGAGGCAGAAGGATCAGAAGTTCAAGGTCATCCTTGACTACATAGTGAGTTTAAAAGGAGAACAGTTCAGGGAGCACATTCCTCCTTCATCCTCTTGTACCTATACCCCTGGGAGCTGTGAGTCCTTCATCCTGGTGACAGTCCCTCTTGCCAGCAGGATGTTCTGAACCCTTGGGCTTGAAGAACAACACGATTCCTGACAGGCAGATCACAGCCTCCAGCAGCTACAAGACCTGGAACTTGCCTGTGTTCGGCTGGTACCCCCACTATGGGCGGTTGGACAGGCAGGGCAAGATCAATGCCTGGACCGCCCAGAGCAACAGTGCCAAGGAGTGGCTGCAGGTGGGCTGGGCCCTTCTTGGGCCGTGGCTGGGGTTGGGTGGGATCTGTGACCTCTACCCAGCCCCACTTCTGCTCCCCAAGGGACTTTCTGGAAAACCTTGATTTTCTTTGTTTTTTTGCATCTTTCTTCCTGCAACACCCCCCTCCCCCATTTCTCTTTATCCTCCTTCTACCAAAGGCCCCAGGTAGAAAAGGGGAGTGAGTGCTTATGTACATGCAGGGGTAGAGCCACTCCCATCAGCTGCCACAGGGTTGACAAGGCTTAGCCTGTGGGCAACAGGGCAGTTTGGCAGAGGGCACCCCAGGACTTCTCCACTTGAACAAAACACAGACTGACTCTGACTCATGGTAATTGGGATATCTCAGAGAAGGTGGGTGAAAATCAGAGGTGGTTTTGCAGGTGGGGAAACTGAGTCTTGGCAGTTTGCATGGGGCTTACCTGCTAGTTGGTGGTAAGTTGGGCATGCAGCCTGGATCTGGGGATTGCCTGTCCCAGGATGGTCAGGGCCAGGGACAAACACCTGTCTCTAGGTCCAAGGAGATTAGGTGGGATTGATTTCATGAGGAGCCACCTGTTCTTGGGCTCCCTTGGGGCCAGTATAAGGCTCCAGGCAGCCCGACAGGTCTCAGAAACAACTCCTACCCCTACATGCTGTGGCCTCTCAGCCTGTTCATCCTACCCAGTGCACATCTTAGACTTGGCATAGACTTGGCCAAGGCTGTGACTCTGGAATATACTTCTGAGCTTTACTGTACTAAAGTCCTAAAGTTCATGTGTGTCAAAGTGGGTTATTTATGCTCATTTTATTTTTTATTTTACTTTATTTATTTTATATCTCTGTGCCACCAAACTACATTCCCAGAACCCTTGATACTTTGAGACAGGGTCTTGCTGCGTAACCCAGGCTGGTCTTGAGTTCTTGCCTCAGCCTTCCAAATGTTGGGGTTATAGGTGGGCACCATGCCTGGCTTTATGTACATTTTATGGATGAGGAAACTGAGACTGATAGGTCATGTCCCAGTGTGACTGCTTTTCTACCTTCCTGGAGAGGGCCCAAACCAAGACAGTGTTGATTTCTCCTGTAGGTTGACCTGGGGACTCAAAAGCAAGTGACAGGCATCATCACTCAGGGGGCCCGAGACTTTGGCCACATCCAGTATGTGGCTTCCTACCAGGTGGCCTACAGTGATGACGGTGTGCAGTGGACCGTGTATGAAGAACAGGGGGCCAGCAAGGTGGGTGTCTGTTTAGCTGGCATTCTCAGGACACCCTGGGATTCTGCAGGGAGGGGAGAGGACTGACTGTGGGGCACTTCTGATACCCCCACTTAACCTCCAGGTCTTCAGTGGCAACTCGGATAACAACTCCCACAAGAAGAATGTGTTTGAGAGGCCCTTCACAGCTCGTTATGTGCGTGTCCTTCCTGTGTCCTGGCACAACCGCATTACCCTGCGCTTGGAGCTGCTGGGCTGCTAAGTGCTCAGCCCTTCCAGCCCAAGTGACCAGAAGGGCAGGAGGCTGAGGGCCCCAGCCTGCTCCTGCGTCAGCAGGCCCTGCTGCCTTCTGTAGCTGACTGCCTCCCCAGCCCTCCCTTCTGATTGTACTGGGGCTGGAGACAGGAGGGGGAGGGGATGTCAGAATTTCTCTCACCAAGCAGTTCCCTCTCCCTTCCCCCACACCACAGCCCCTATAGGCACTCCTGCCATCCCTTTTCTCAGGCACTGCTGGAAGTTGTGTAGGTCTGAGATGAACAGGGGAGAAGGGTGAAGTTGGGGTATGTGGGCTACCTGCACCATCCCAGGTCTCCAACTCCCTGCCAGAGACTGACTCCACTAGAGGGACTTCTGGTTCCCTGCCCCTCTCTGCACACCGCACATTCCTCTACCAAGTTCCGTTCAGGGCCTCCAGGAAGAAGAGGCCTCACACCTGCTTGCTGCCCCTCTGGGGTCACCACACTGCCCCTTATCTCCTGTGACCCTTCTTGACCCTTGCTCCAGAGACTTGGAAGACAAGGGGACTGGCGGGTCTGTGGAGAGGCGGGTGTTCTGGCTTGGTGGCTGTGGGTCCTTTGCTGGCTTGCCATCCAAGTATACAGGCAGCTTCCAAAATACATTTGTGTTTTCCACTGGAACTTTTGTGCTTCCTCTTTGCTTTGCCCAAGCTGGACTGCCTGGTCCTGCTCCCCACTCCACCCCCACTCCTGTCCTCTAGAGCCCAGCATTCTTATGTCACCTGGCAGACTGCAAACAACTTAAGAACCAGAGCTGAGAGACTGGGGGTTGGGGGAGCGTGGAGTTAGGGGGCAGGCTTCCCAGTCCTCCAAGCCTGGGTGTCTTTACCTCCATAGGCTAGGTCTTGGATGCTCTCTCTCTCTCTGTCTCTCTGTTTCTGTTTCTGTCTCTGTCTCTCTCTCTGTCTCTCTCTCTGTGCACGGGCTTGTGCTGCTGTCTGTGTGTACTAGCTGCCTGGGTGTCTTTACCTCCATAGGCTAGGTCTTGGATGCTCTCTCTCTCTGTCTCTCTGTTTCTGTTTCTGTCTCTGTCTCTCTCTGTGCACGGGCTTGTGCTGCTGTCTGTGTGTACTAGCTGCCTGGTAAGGGGCCAGGGAGGGCCTGGCAGAGAGGTGGCTCCTGTGAATGCCTCTGTTCCCTTCCCACGCTAGGAAGACAGGCCAGGCCTGGCTGCTGGTTTCCTCTTTGGCAGGTTCCATTTTTCTCTGCAATGGGAATGCTGGATTGGAGAAAACTTTAGAAACCCAGCAAACCTGGCTTTCAGAGACACAGATGGCCCTTGATGGGGTGGGCTGGGTGTTGGGGGATGTGGAAAGGGAGGAGGAGACAGGGCACTGCCCAAGTGCACACTGTAGGCATGAACATGCCACTTCTTGAGAGGCCACAGGTGGGTGCACTTAAAGGCTGAAGAGAGGGGTCTCTTTTCTGCCTTTCTCCACACAGACGCCATAAGAAGTGACCAGTGGGGACTGTGCACTGTGCCCTGGTCATCTGGGGAGGGATGGCTAGCTGGCCAGGAAAAGGCTGAATGAAACACCCTAGTCTTCAAGCAGTATGTCACAGCCAGGTTTCAGGAGCCACGCTGCAGTGGCATAGGCTCTCGGGGCAGCAGGAGGTCAGCCATGTGGCTGCCAAAGGGAGGACAAGGAATGGCTGGAAGCACATCAGGAACACTGGAAGTGGCTGTTTCTTGAGACTAGCCCATTATTGGCAGGGGTTTTTGCAGGCTGGGAAAGAGAAGAAGGCCAAAAGGTGGTCTGCCTATGAAAGAGGGATGCTATACTGCTCAGCCCTGAGCTTGGGATGGTTCTGCCTCCTGGGAAGTCACTACAGATCCTGCAAGTCTATTCTTGCCAGATGAGAGAGGAAATGGCCTTCCCTCATCTGTCATCTGGCTCACACTATATAGTACTTTCTGTGGGCCAGTTTTTTTGTCTGGGCTGCTGGACAGGTGGATGGATACTGGTCACAAGACCTCTACCTGTCCTAGGAGATCTGGGTGATGAATTGACCAAGCTGGTCTCTTTGTCCCTACCTCTGTGTTTGCAACTTTGTATTGGCCACAGCCTTGAGAAAGTCCTCTTCCTGGGATCCTGGCTGGGAGCCCCTCACGTTGGTTCCTCCCCGTCATCTTCAAATGTAATTTTCCTTTCCTGTCTATGGTATAGAGAGCCAGCCTTGATATTTCACTTGCTGGCTATTCTGCCTTGCAATGTAACCATAGATCATTCCTGCTGACCATACTTGTGGCTGACCTCTCCAAGGGATCTAGGCTCTTTTTTGCTCCTGGTTTAAACATGGCAAATTGGTCAGGAGCTCAGAACTTCAAATCAGATAACAGGGTTCAAATCCTAGCTCTGAGTTTGACCTCTGATCATCTGCAAAATGGAAATAAGAAGGCCAGCTCCGTGCTGATGTCAGAAACTGGTGGTGTCCTCAGAGGCTTGTGAGAGTATCCTCATTGGTACTTGTGTCCAGTGGTCAGCTCTGTCTCTAACCTGCAGAAGAACTTTCACAGCTCTCTTTTGCCCACAAACCTGGCATTCATTTTGGAAAGAGCTTAGTCCACCGCAGTTGTGTTTTGATTTGCTCCTGGCTGTGTGTGACTGATTCAGTCTCTTCCTGCCTCTGCCTCTCTGCCTCTGCCTCTGCCTGTCTGCCCCTCTGCTCCTCAGCCCCTGCCTCTCTCAGAGACAAGGGCTCTCTGGAGGTGTGTTTAAAAGGTCTGGGCTCCTGACTCAAAGGCCCTAAGAAAGAAAACACCCTGTCCAAACAGAAGCATCCTGAGAAGTGGCAGTCTGAGGGCTGTGGGACAGATGTCCTGAGTCTTGAGGGAGGGCTCTCTGTTGAAGGAGCACCCCATCCTGTCCCCGTGCACCCCCACCCTCAGGGATTCCTAGGGGCAGGTTTATGTGTGTGGCTGGCCATCTCACTGTGCCTCAATTCAGGGAAGGAGGCTGTCCCCCCAGACTTTTTACAGGAAGCAGGGACACTGAACTCTCATCCCTCCCTCTTTTCTTGTACAACTTTGAGGGGGGCAGCCATAGCCCACCCGCAGAGTGCTGAAGGGGTTTCCTTTGCATAGAAGGGAGGGTGTTCTAATGGGACCTCCCACCTCTACAAATACTCCTCTCCCACCCCACTCTCAACTCCGTCTCCTGGGACATGACTACTTCGACTCCTGGGGGTTAGTCACAGCTTGCCTTCAACTCCGGATTTAGGGAGTTTAGCAGTTTGACCAGCAGCTACTCCCTGGGGGTCGAGCTCTTGGGAGGGAAAGGGACTGTGTACCTTTAAGGGGCTGGTCCTCCGGGAGCGCGGGGGTTTGTTGGCTGCGGTTTCCTTCCATTGAAGATCCCAAATTCTTCTGTTTTGGACTAGTCAGCCGGTGGCCTCAGCGTGTCGCGGTGGGAGCTTGAGTCGTCGAGGAGCCCTCTGGGGACGGTACACGTGGCTCGGGGGTGGCCGTGCCCTGGGGTCCTGTGGGCAAAAATTCCTCTCTTCTCCCCCTGGGTCTCCTATGGGACTCCACGTCTGCCAGAAAGAGTCGGGGACGGGGGACAGGGAGTAGGGGGCAGAGGAAGCTGGGTACTGCTGGGCTCAGCTGCAGTGTGATCGCCGGTGAGGGTTCCGGGCACTGCGGGGGCTCTGCAGGTGCGCGGGCTGACTTGCACGCGACCCTTGTGGGAGCCACCAAGAGGCACCCTCTCCCCCCAGCCAACCCCCAGGATACTAAGCGTCGCATTTTGCCCTGGTCGTGCAGCCTCGGTCTGGCAGGGTCAGATGCTGCTGGAGTCTCGAGGACCCTGGGAGGCGGGAGCTGCGGACAACCTGAGAAGGGGTGGGCGGAGGACGCGCGCCTTTCGCCGGCTCTGGCTACTCGGGGTGCACGCAGGATGTCCACAGTTCCGGAACACCTGAAGCTCCTCCCCTATGAACAGGAGAGCAGCGAGGCGAAGCCTGGGTGCAAGCTGGCCTCACCCAGGGAGGAAAGGTGCAGGCACTTGGACCCGCTCTGCCCGCAGTCTGCGACCGCGTTTGGCCCCGGCTTCCATCGCTGACCCAGAGCGGCTCCGCCCAGTGCCTTCTCAGGGGCGCCCTGGTTTCTTGGGGCGGGGACGGGGCGGGGCGCTTGCACCTGGCCTACTGGAATGCCACTTTGCATTTTCCGAGACCTGGCGGTGTGGTGGTGGCTGGATTTCAAAGGCTTGATACCCCCCTCCCTTTTAAAAAATATTTTGTTTACTATTTTATGTTTATGTGTGCATTGCCTGCCTGTATGTAAGTGTCGTGCAGTGTGTCTACGGAGGTCAGAAGAGGGCGTTGGATTTCCCTGGAACTGGTTACTGTCGGTTGTTAGCTGCCGTGCGGGTGCTGGGAATGAAACCCGGGTCCTCTGAAAGAACAGGCAATGCCTTAACTGCTGAGCCATCTCTCCAGCATCCCCCCCTCCAAATATTTTACTATTAAAAGTCTTTAAAAAGCCGGGGTGGGGGTGGGGTGGGGCAGTAATGTCAAATTTCTCTCTGAGCTGTCCTGGTGGCTCTGGGGTGCAAGCCTGCCCTCTTCCGGTGTCTGAGGAACTTAGGTTCATAACTCAGCTGCCATGTGAATCTGGTGGGAAGTGGCACCTCCCCTTCTAGTCTGGATTCAGTTTAATTGTCCTGCTGGGGACTCTTAGGCAAGTGGTGCTTGGGAAAGGTTGATGATCTGGACATCTGATTTCCTCTAAACCCCAGATATTAGCCGAAGATAAAGCCTAGGGTGGTTCACTTGTCTCCATACCCTTGGCCTCAGTTTCCCCAGCTGTGAAGATAAGTCAACAGTGGCTGCCTCTCTCCTATTTGCTGAGACAAGAAAAAGAGGCTGTGGTACATGGCAAGACAACAGTCCCAGCTGCTGAAGCTTGTCAGCATGGCATGAGGCACTGCTCTGCAGGTAGCCTGCCTCTGGGGTCGGGAGAGTGTTTTCTGATTGGCTGACTGGCATTGTGGGACAACGTCCCCCCACCTCACGTTATCCACCCCTAGCCCCATTTTACAGGTGAAGGAAACAGGCTCAGACACTTGTCCAGGGTCATACTGGTTCTAAGCAGGCAGAGCCAGAATTAATTGAGGCAGCCAGTCTGATTGGAGCTCCAGAACCCCAAGTTGCTGCTGGCTGAGACAGACAGAGTAGAGGAGGTCCCTATCCCTCCATTAGTAGATGTGCCTTAAAAATCACTTCTGAATTCCACCCAGAGCTCTGTTCTGTGGTCAGTCTTAGCATTTGGGGCTCATCCTTGTCCCCAGCCTCTCGGGCTTCAGTCTGCCCAGGAGAGAGGGGAGCTTGTGTTCAGAGAGGCCAGATGACTTGCCCAGGATCACCCAGCAGGTGGCAGAGCCTGGGTTTGAAGTCAGCAAGTCTAACTTGAATCTTCAGGCTTTATGTGTATAACTCTGCTCTCACAGAAGGTGAGGAAGGGTGACATGAGACCAAACGTGATGGGGAACCGCTGATTCCTTGTGCTTGGTGTGGAGGGGCTGGGATGAGGATGTGCATTAGACTAGAGGCCAGAAGTCATTCAGCCCAACCCTTTAAGACTGTTAGTTCCATTAGTGCCAGCCTCTTCTGAAAACTCTGCAGTGTCTTCTTTCTTAGAATAAAGTCCAAGGGGCTATGTGACATGGCCTCTGGCCACCATGTGGACATTGTTTCCTGATATCCACAGGGCTCCAGCCTCTCTGGCCTCTGAACTTGTCCTGCAAAAGGCCTGTGTGTTCTCCCTGTAGTGATCTCCCAGGATTCTCAGGGTTCCTGCCTTCTCAGGGGGGCCTTCCTGACCTACTGTCTAAAGGAGCATTTGGGGCTGGAGTTGTGACTGTTGGTAGAGAGCTTGCTCCGCATGCCTGAAGCCCTGGGTTTGATCCCCAGTACCCCATAAACTGGGTGTGGTGGCATGCACTTGTATTCCCAGTACTTGGAAGGTGGAGGCAGGACAACCAGAAATTCAGTCACCTTTGACTACATGAAGAGTTTGAGGCCAGCCTGGGCTGCAAGTCACCCTATCTTGAAAGTAAATAAACAAACAACCCTCCCCCTGCTTCATCTTCTCATATCACTTGCTGTCATACCTGTGCCTGTTGTCTGTTGTAGACTGGACTCCAGGATCCCTTTTGCTTTGCACCATTAGTGTCTAGAACTGTGTCTAGCCTGTGGTAGATGCATGATAAATACTTGTTGAGTGAATTCTTAGATAACCTTAGGCATGCATTAGCATTACTGAACCTTAACTTTCTTGTCTGTACAATGGAGATTATGATTCTGACACTGCAATGTAACCATATCCACGAAGGCATAATTATAATCAGGGGTAGCATTTAAACTGGACAGATCATTATATGGATCAACTAAAAAGAATTCCCCAGAATCCTGTCTTTGTCATTTCCTGGCTGTATGACCTTTACATAGTTGCTTCACATCTCTGTGCCTATGTTCATTTGTGGATTAAATGGGGAGAATAAAATTCTTCTTGCTGATTGTAAGGTGGAGGCTCTGGGGTAGAGGATTGTGGAAGGTATTAGCTATAGAAGTCCATTAAAAATCAGGGATCTAGTTTGTACTGGAATTAGTTATTTTCTATATAGCCAAGAATAACCTTGAACGCCTAATCTTCCTGCCCTATACCTCCCAAGTGCTAGGATTATAGGCATGCACCTCCAGTCCTGGTTTTGTTTGTTTTTTAAGACAGGCTCTCTGTGTAGCCCAAGCTGGTCTAGGACTCTTTATACTCCTGTCTCTGCTTCCCCAGGGCTAGGATTACAGATGTGGGCCACCAGGCAGGGCTTGCTGGTGTTTTTGATTAGGATTGCTTCTGTTTCTGTTAGCACTGTGATGGCAAAGTTGCATGCTTTGCAGAGTCTGCTCTGTTCTCCCCTAACCTTGTAATTTTAAAATTTAATCTTTTAAAAAAAGATTTATTCTATTTTTAAAAGTTCTACGTATATGTGTATGTTTGTGTTAGAGTATGTGCACATGAATGCAGTGCCTGAGGAAACCAGAAGAGGGCACCAGATCCCCTGGAGCTAAATTTGTAGGCAGTTGTAAGCAGCTCCCATGAGTGCTGGGAACTGAATTCTGGAAGAGCAGCAAGCACTTTTAACTGCTGACCTGTCTTTTTAGCCCCACCTTGTGACTTTTAATGCATAATTTTGCAACAATAGACATTCTTTTTCAGGGATACTGTAGCAGAATGACCTCATCCACAGGCTGAGAGCACTGGTGCCATGTGAGATGCTGTAAGACACAGGAAGACTTTCCACTCTGTGAGGCCTCTGGGTGTCCAAGGATGGTGTGGCCTTGGGTACCCAGCTCTATATCCACAAGCCTCTGAGGCCTCAGCCTGCTTCTCTCTTGGTCTCTAAGTTGAAGCTTCAAGGAAGGAAACTGACCAGGCACTGACTGTGTGTTCCCCACAATTGTCTCCCTGCATTTGGCATGGTGCCTCCAGCCTTGGAGCTGGATTGGGTTCAGATCCTGGCTCTGCCACTTCCTAGCTGGATGACCTTGGACAAAATCTTTGTATTAGTTTTCCCATCTGTAAAATAGGAATACTGAACTAGGTATGTAGCTCAGTTGGAAGAACACTTGGCTAACGTGCATGAGCCCTGCGTTTGATCCCTAGCACCACGTAAACCAGGCATGGTGCTGTACTTTTGTATTCCCAGCACTTGGGAGGTAGAGGCAAGAGGATCAGGAGTTAAAGGTTTTCCTCGGCTACATAATGAGATAAAGGCCAGCCTGGAATACATAAAGCCCTGTCTCAAAAATAAATAAGAATACATAAATAAATAAAATGGGGATACTGAAAGTCCCCATCTTGAGGGTTGTGGTGAGGACATATTGAGATAGCTAGTGCTCATTAAGGACTGATGTTCTTGCTGTTACTCTGATACTAGCAACCAGTATATATTATTTACATTTCTCATTGCTGTGATCAAATACCTAATTAGAAGGAAGTTAAGAGAGGAAGGGATTATTTTGGCTCACTGGTTTTTAAAAAATGTTTTATTTTTCTTCCTTCCATCCTTCCTTCCTTGTAGACCAGGTGGGCCTTGAACTCACAGAGATTCACCCAATTCTGTCTCCTGAGTACCGAGTCCTGGGATTAAAGGTGTGTGCCACCACACCCGGCAAATCAAGCAACCGCTTTTTAGCTACACAATTTTTCCTTCGAGACAGAGTCTCCCTGTAGCCCCAGCTGGCCTGGATTTGCTATGGAGACCAGGCTCACAGAGATCCGCCTGCCTCTGTCCCCCGAATGCTGGGATTAAAGGCTTGCACTACCATGCCCGGCTTATTTATTATTTTTATTTTATGTGTATTTGTGTATTGCCTGCATGCAGGTAAGTGCACCTGTATCATGCAATGCCCGTGGCAGACAGAAGAGGCTGTCGGATCCCTAG